TGTAACATTGTAACATGCGAGAATACAGCCTCTTTGTCAATACGCCAGATGTCGCTCTCTTTAACAAAAAGCAACGAACTTTCTCGATGTAAATCAAGAGTGAGTCAGTTGATGTGTAGTTTCTAAGTGAAACTGGTTGTTTTTAGGTAAAACCTGAAACCTGTGTGGTTCGAACCTAAGTGGTTAGAGTCTATGTGACTCATGTTATTATTGAGGAATAAATATTATTGTTATTGTTATTGATCATATGGTTGATTGAATTAGTTGATGATAACCAACATCATCGCATTATGGTGTAGTTTGAAGTAACTCGGCATAGATACCTGACATATATATATATAAACAAATTTACAAAAGACCTTTACAAAATTGTCTTTAATTACATTTTATAGAAAGGACTAAATTAAATCTATAAATTGAAGAAAAATATATACAGTACGGAACCCGTTATCCGGAATTCAGAAAACCGGAAAACCAAAAAACCGGAACGAAATTCGATATTTTCCCGCCATTTCAAAAAAAAAATTTTCTCATAAAATTTTAGGATTTTTCTTTCTTTTTTGAAAGATGTTTACCTTACAATCATTTTGGAAATAATCATTAGTGTACTACTTCAACGTTTTTTCTTCTTTTTAAGATTATTACCAAATATTTTTTTTTAGTTGGGTTTAACAACAAAAAAAAACTTCTTTTTGTAGCGATTCAGAAAACCGGAAAAATCAGTTATCCGGAATAGCGATGGTCCCGATCGTTCCCTACTGTATATAAATAAACAGTTTTTTTAATAACAAATAAATAAAACATTTGGTTACAGTAAAACCTATGGTACATAGTTTACAAAACCATAACTCTTAACTTCTCCAAAAATATAATTATTAATTTAAGGTTAGTCAAAATATATATTATAAAAGCTTTAAATCAGCTTACTTCTTTTAATGGTTGATATCTGGAGCTTTCAGGATTTTGGAGAACTTTGAGCTAGAAGTTCAAAAAAATAAATAAAAAATAATAATTAATTAAAAGTATTGAAACTGGCGAAAATAACAAAACATTTAAAACATGAAATGGAACTGTATAAATCTTAAAACACTCAAAATAGATAATTTAACTTCTTGTCTTGATTTGTGATTTTTGTGAATTCTAGTTTGAAAGAAATCATACAAACCTAAACTTTAAGAGGCTTTTTTTGAATTTGTACTTTTGCCAACCACTATCACTTATTACCAAAACTTCCATTCTTAATTGTTTGGGGGAAAAGGGGCAAATATTGTTCTATGCTCAGTAAAAATCTAACATCACTTGCATAAAATGTCTCATTTTCAATGTTGTTAATAGGTTTTTTTTTTGAAATAGAGAAATTATTTTTAAATTTGGATTTAACAAAAACTATACCAAATAAAAAATTTATGTTTCATAAAATTATTGCACTAATGCTAAATGGAAGTATCTTTGTGCACCTAACTTAAAATTCTTTGACTGTTTTACAATATAAATTACATATCTGTTTTTTAGAAATTACTGTCTAAACTTTGCCATATTAGATTAGCAAGTCCTGAATAATCTGACATATAATTTGCCCTAACTTGACCATTAGCTTATAATCTTAAAACTTATAATATACAATGTAATTACTATACATTGGTTCTCATAGGATGTAATACAAAAACAAGAGAAATAATGGTCCACAAACTCCTCAGTTAGTATAATTAACTAAAAATATTTAATTTTAACTGGGTTTTTTTCATGAATTAAGTCTTACCTGTTGTCTCATGACTCTAGCAGGATTAGTAAGAGTTTCATATAAGGCCTCCACTTCTTTTTTTTCTTCTTTTTTATCTTCTACCACCACCTCTTTACTTGTATCTTCTTTTTTATCTTTTGAAACTTCTTTTGTACTTGTACTTTCTTTAACGTCTTTTGAAGTAGATTCTTCTTTTTTATTATCCTCATCCTGTAAAAATAATTTGCATCATCAACATTACCTACATTTAAGAAACAAACTACTTACTAAAACCTTCAAACACATTTAACTTAACACCTGGCCACTAGTATTTCTCAAAAATTACTAGATGGATTATTTAAATATTTTTATCTCCCTGAGACTGTTTTGGACTTATTAGACTTATATGCACTTTTTAGTTCTTAAGAAAGATTTGTCAACAATATAACTTTCCTTTCATACAGGTGTAACTTGCAAAACTCTGATGTAATATGATATCCAGTCAGCTTAATTTCATCATTTTGATGTTACAGTAATGTTCAGTACAAGCCGCCAGCTGATAGGGCTTATAATGATGCTACAAACAATTTTTTTTTAAATACTCTTAAAATGAATTTTTAAAAAAAAATAATAATCCAGAAACTGCAAGAAAATATAAAAAGTTATTTTAAAATAATGGTTACAAAATGTACTTTTGTAACTGATTCATTCTGCGGTATTACAGGTTTCCCACTCTTTAGACAAAGCAAAAATTAAGGACCTTTTTTGAAAAAATTAAGGAATTTTTCGAAAAATTAAAAATAGTACAATTGTTTATCATCGAATATACCACCAGCGACAGTACCAATTATTTACCTTTCTTAAAAATAATCAATAAATAAAAAACAATAATAAATAAAAATTTATTATAATGTACTGATAAAACAGTACTAATTATTAAGGTTTCGCCAAAGTAGGACCGGGCAATTTTTGTAAACTCAGGTTCATTGAAATTGAACAGTAAAATTAAGTGCAGAAATTAAGATTTGCAAATTTTTTCATACATTAAAAAAAAGGGTAATAAATAAAAAAATTTTGGGAAAACGTTGAAAAAATTATTAAAACAAGTTCTTGTATTTCGCTTCCAGGCATGCATCACATATTCAGTTGCGAGCCAATCATGCTAAATATTCAATTATGCCAAAAATTTTGTCAATGTATTGTCTCATTCTAGGTGATAAAAGAATGACTTTTTTTAAAAATATTTTTGTAAGACTGAAAAAATCGTTCCTATCAAGTATAGCAATACTGAAAAATTAAAGACTTTTAAAAATCTTTTGCCAAAATTAAGTACTTCCAAAGGCCCTTTTACTTTCAAAAATAAAAATTAAGTAGTTTTTAAGGACTTTGGGAAGCCTGTAATAGACTTTAGAAGTACAATAAGCAACAAAACTCTTTTTTTTTTTTTTTTAAATAGAGAAAAAAAAATTGTTTTAAGAATTTACGGGACATAAAATGCATTATAATTGAATTTCTTTTATTTGTATTTTTGTAACGAAAGTAAAAATTTATTTGACTGTTACATGTTTTGTTCATATAAAAAAATATAAAAAAAACACTATGAAATGTCCCAGCTAGGCATAATTTTGAATAAATAAGGTTTTACAAGTAATCTGCAAATGAATCATAATATGATTGTTTTGGTGTACATAATACTGTTATAAACACGTTTGACTGTATATAAATATGCAAAACACACCTGAATAAATTTAGGATTAAGAATTTAGTAGCTGCTTAATCAGTCATGAATGGTAAAATAAGTACTATAAAGAATTACCAAAATAAAAATTTGAAAGTGAAACTTTAAGAAAAAAATCTATCACATTCTATATTTGCACAAATGAATATAGAATGTGATACTTACGAATATAGAACGTGATACTTTAATTTGTGGTATACAAATTTAAGTTTTATGTATTAGAGAAGTCTTTAATAATTTCCTCTATTTCTCGCTCCCATGAAATTTCCAGGCTGGAGTGTTCAGTAGTAACGTGCCAATGAGAATTAAACTAACTAATTTATTTTGCCCGGAAAACACTTTATTTCTTATTTTACACACCAGATGGCAGTACCAGGATATTTTTAAGGTAATTATAGATAGTTTATTTTAAACTAGATGTCAGCACTAATCAAATACGTAAATTGGACAAAATAGGCACTTTTATGACCGTTTTCTTGAAAATTAACCAATTGTTAAGTGGTTAAACTTCTTTAACAGCAAATAATTTACTAACAAAATCCAAATTTTTATATCGATAAAGAAGTCTTAATTGGTGAAATATTTATAAGCTGTTTGACATTTTTTTCTTAAATATTAAAATTGTAGATCATATTTACTTACAACATCCATTTTTTCTTCTCTTTCTTTTTTCTCAACTTCCTTCTTTCGAGCTTTGGCTGTAATAGACAATACAGCTGTAGTAACTTTTTCTCTCTCCTTTTCTTTCTTTTCCTCCAAGGGTGGGGGGTAGGCATACATGGAAGGTTTCGCGTTCGATCGAAATTCCATTTTAGGCATCTAAATAATGAAGGTTTATTTAATCGAATAGAAATTTAATTAATTAACATACATAAAGAATGCAAAACTGTTTAATACCTACTTTTAGATCTAAATTAAGACCAATAATTGCAGTAGGCGTAAATGCCAGTGATAAGAAATGTGAGAGGGAAAACCAGTACCAAAACTGTGCAAAAACTAACATTCCAACAACAGCAGCCATATTTGTGTGTCCTGTCCTTGACTGCAAGGAAATGGTGACATTTCGACCCCCTTTAAAAGAATATAAGGAAATGCTTTAGAAATTAATTTGAAAAGAAGCAGGACGGTTATATTTTAATACCAGTATGATGCAGATTTTATAATGAAATGATTTATTCACAAACATAGCTAACCTGCATCAATAATTCCTTGAGCTAATATAGCACCAAATTTAGCCATGACATCATCATGCTTGTCACTAATAACTTTGCTGTACAGTTGCCGGAAGTCTTTTATCTGAAATAATTACAGTTTGAGTGACAATTAAAATACAATAGAGAGAGAGAGAGAGAGAGAGAGAGTGAAACGTATGATTTAAAGGTCCCCCTTCCTTCGAAAAAAGTTGATATTTCAATATTGAACAATTGAGACTTTTTTTTTATACTTAATATAGCAAAACTGTTCTTAATTATTTTAAATTTCATTTTATATTAAAGAAAGTTATTTAAAATAAACAGCAGTACTAAGAATAGGATATTGTCTTTTTAAACATTCATTTTTGTTTCTTGCTTGAGTCTATATAATGAAGAAATTAAATTTTTTTTTACTACAAAATCAAATATTATTCTTTAATTATTATTAAAAAAAACATCGATTCAACTATGTAAAATTCTAATTTTTACTTACTGTTAAATTTGAATTAAAATATTTTATATAAAAAAATAAACTTTTTAATATTTTTTGTAAAAATTATAAATTTTAGTTATACTTTTTTTAAAACACATTTAAAAAAAAAAAATTGTTTTGACTAGGCAATTTTTGATCTGTCTGAAACTAAAAAACCAATTAATTTGTGTAAAGACACACACAAAAAAATGCATTAGGAACGGAATAGATAAAATTATCCAAAAATACTTATTTTAAAAAAACTAGGATGAGCTGTAGAAGTTTTGTGAACAACATATACTGCACATAGATAATTTGATTTAAAGATACTAAATAACACTGAAAATAATACCTTTGGACATGTTTGTTCAGTTTGTTGAATTAAAATCAGAGCTGAGGATATTAGAGCACCTTGTCTGACATAATTAACTGGATCATTTGTCATAGGTTCTAACAGCGATATAGCTTCCTGTTAAAATAAAAGAAATTATATAATGATATATTTTTTAAAAAAAATACTCTCAAATAAAAACAAAGAGAAATTTAATATTGAAAAGGATAATTTTCAAATATTTGGTACCCGTGCTTCATTTTCAATGAAGCATATAACAGTCCATAATTGCAATATAATAATTTATATTATAGCGAAGAAATTTTAAAGTAACAAAACAAGAGCATTTTCAACAATCAAATTCATTACCTTATTTCCGGTTCCAGCACATGAGATTCCTAGAGCTAAGGCAGCACCATATCGGACATGTGGATTGTAACTCTCTGAAAGCAAAGACACTACGCTCGGACACTGTTCAGGAGTTCTACAGAAAATATCAAGAAACAGTTTAGTTTTTATACAAACATAAATAAAGCAGGGGTGATTGTGACACAAAGTGAAAAATCATGAAAATTTTATGTTCAAAAAATGGATATCAAAATATCAATTTATATACCATACATGTTTCATATTTAACACAATTTTTTGAAATGAATTTTTTTATTAAATTACCAAGATGAATATCACACCTTTATACTAATTATTTTAAGAAAAATCTTAGTTCTTACAAGAATCACAATGTTGGATTTTTAAAATCATGTGAATATAAATCGCGATATTGGATCTTAAATTCAAGTGAATACAAATCAAAATGTATGATTTTTAAACCATGTGAATACAAATAGCAACATGTGACTTAAATTAGGTAAATACGAAAATCGATGTTTGATATTCAAATCATGTGAATAGGAATTGCGATACAAGCTGATTTCGGCGCAGTTTCAAATATTCAAAACGGCGAAAATCTGCCAAGCCAAAAGAGTCCATTGGCAGATTTCTGCCCATTTCCAGAGGAATCACATGTATTGTAAGCGTCCCGTTAGAAGAAATCAGTGAAACTTCAAAATCGAATATTAGATTGAGGAATTCCAAGTAGGATAATAAGTTTTTGATGAGGGAATGTCCGACAACCAACAATTTTGAGAGAGACGGAATTCCGCGAAAGTCCCAGAAAAATTATATGCCCAGATCTTAATTTATAGCCCTGAAGGATAATACGAAAAACCCGTAATTTCGGGATACCCTCGGAATACAATCACCCCTGATAAAGGTTATTGGTTTCTTACAATATAAACTAATTGTAAATTATAAATTAAAATATTCTATTTTAATTAGTATTTCTTGAAAACAAAATCAATGAATGTTACCTAAGCAACATTTAAAAAAGTATTCTAAAATTATTTATTTATATTATTATTATTCTTTTTCAAATTTTTATAATTTTCTGATGTTGCAAAAAATATTAAGACGAGCTCTTAGAAGGCCACACATAATTTTTCTCCTACAAATTTTACATATAAGTAATCTAATTTTTTTTGAATTACCTAAATAAAATAAATCCTAGTGCTTCAACTGCAGCTCTTCTCACATCATCATTGACATCACTTACCTAAAGCAGAAAAAAATAAAGTGAATTTTAAAATAAATCTGGGCAGTGTTAAAATTTTATCTCATCCAATAAGCATTAATTTTAATTCAATTATAATGCAAAATCACAACACAAATTTATGTTTTTCCCAGCATGTTTTATGAAATAATAACAAACCTATGCAAACTATTGCATAAAACACAAAATGTTACCCCCTAAGGGAATTTTCAATAATCAATAACAAAAAATAAAATAACATTCAGGATAATATTCAGGTTGAAAAAAAAATTATATCAAAAACTAAGTTTTGAAATACCTTATAACTTTAAAATTCTTAATAAAAAACAAAAATTCTGAAATCTTTTTTGAAAAGAATTTAAAACTACAAACTATAATTAGGACTCATTTCAATATTTAATTTGCATTAATTAATTAAAATTTTTAATTAAGCAATAAAAGTTGAGTGAAAAATCTGTTTTTGTAAGCATATTATTATTATTTTTTTTTTTTTAAGATTTAATTTTTTAAATCCAAAATTTGTCTAGAATTTATTAACAATGAAGTTATTATACATACAGCAACATGAAGAAGTCTGCGAATGGCTTTATTATTTCCTGTGCCACAATATGCCATTGCCACAGTGTGCATTCCAGATCTTCTAAGGAGAGGATCTTTATCCCTACACAAACTTTCAATTAAAGTGTCAGCTTCTTCCAATCGACCGTACATTGTCAAAGAAATACCCAATGCTAGACCTCTGAGGATCTTTTCATGTTGTGTTTCTTGAGCATACTGTTTAATAAAATAAATAAAAAATACAATAAATAATAACAAAATGAAATTTTCAAATCACTCATACATAAAAAATTAAAAAGATCAAATGCTTGAACAGAAAGATTTTAAAAAATTCCAGCAAATCTAAAGAATAATTTAAACTGTATGTAATTTTCTGCTGTTCATAAGATTTTATATTTTGTAAGGTTTACTTTTAATTTATCTATGTAAGCTACAAAAATTACAAAGTTATTTTTAAGTTTAATGGTATTAAAAAATTATTTTTCAATTCAATAAAAAATATAGAAAATTTTATTTTTAATTTTACTGTTCAAAACATTTGGAAACACTGGAACATTTAGGAAATAAATTTTTATGGAGAATGCATACTTGCCAATTTAAGCAAATATTGGATCAGATTTCGAAAAGTGATAATATAATAATATGCATGGTTACCTATTAAAATTTTTTCTAACAATTAAACTACTTTGCCAATCCATAAAAACATAATCCTCTTACTATTATACCTTATATACATATATTTGAATTATTGAGTTAGCATAGCTAAAGGACTGTTTAACATTACACTAACAGAGTAAAAAATTGGTGCATTAAAAAAAGTGGTAGTTAAAAGAGAGGTGGTCTCTCGAATAAGTTTCACTGTATAACTGTAACAACGACTACAAAAAAAATTCCAAACTTATTTTGGTGCTTAAAAAAATTTCAACGACTGTACAAAGAAGGCATGTTCAAAGCTTCAAATTCAAGTCACATTACTGGAAATAGGAATATCCATTGGAATATTATCTACATAGTAACATAATAAAAAATATAGTATAAGAAAATCAATTATATATTTTATCATAGTGAAAAATAAACAAAAATACTTACAGCAACCATATCTTCAATAGCTGTAGCAGACTTTGAACCAAGCATAACTAGACCCATAGCAACACCTGCTGCCTCGCCTGTAACTGCATCGTCTTGATATAAATTGAACTTTAATTGTTCATAAACATCTATAAAAAAATAAGTTATATTTAAAGATGAAAAGTAGCAGAGTATAAATAGATGCCATACCCATTAAATATATTATTTCATTATAATAAATGACATACTCAACTCAAATTTAGGCACTGATCATGCTTATTAATACAAACATTTATCTGATTCACGAAAAACTTTTTTTATATATATTAAACTTAACTCGGGTAATCACAAATAAACTAGATATAAGCTAGAAATCAAGATAAATAATTCAACATTTGTGTTAATTATTTCAATGAATTTTTAATAATAAAATATGGAACCAAATGAAAATGCAAAACAAAGAAAAAACCTTCCAGCCAGGAAAAAAAAAGATATTACAGTAGAAAGGTTTTGCTAATTACAAAAAATACTAATAATGGTCAAGACAGTATTAATATTATGAAATAATGAATTATTTATGTTGATAATTAAAATTACTTATAAAGATATCAATTTCGCTTTTAACTTCAAGAATGGTTTAAATTAGACAAGCCTTTTTTTTCCGACCTCTGATGTCAGAAAACTGCTTTCGGACACCTGTTTTCAATTCTTGTTTGTGTAAATAGGATATCATGAAGAAAACTCTTTTATTGACTATAAGTATGCAATATCACCATTTCTAAATTGAGGTTTAAATTAAAAGCAAGACCATACAAATCACTAATGTTTTTATTCAAATATAGGCAAATGTGTCAAAATATGCAAATCAGAAAAGTATAGTTTTAGTAGTAAAACTTATATGAATTCAATTAATAACCAGCATTAGTTCTTAAATTACAAAACACATTTTTTAAAATAAGCCTAAAATTTTTTTTTACATAATATTTTACATTTTGAAAACAATTCATAACACTTGATTCTAATACATATGATTGAAACATGACTTAAAAATTTATAATAGAATTAACAATATAAAAAATTACCTTGTTTTTTT